GTCCTGAGCTATAATTGCGTATTTTCCGGTGTCTGCCGGTAACAGTTCACCTCCAGCCAGAGAGACCTTCACGGAGAGGCCTCCATCGCCAAGTTCGATGACAGCTTCCTCCATCTCGAGCTCATTCTGGCACATCATTACTGCAAAATTGGTAAAAAAAAAAAAAACAGGGCGTGGATGATACCGAGTCTAGTGCGTATGTCTGTCGAAATAAATGCCAGAAGCGTTGTTATTTTCCAAAGTGAGAAACGAACACACCTATTTGCACCTTGATTATGCACGTGAGACGAAGAGCTATCAGTGCTTCGTGCCTCGAATCAATTAACACTATTGTTGTCTCAAACATGCACACTAAGGATTCCTTACAAGCAACACCATATTTTAATATACATAACTGACAACTTATTTTGTTGTAGTTTATAACTTAGTTTTATTAGATTCAGTAGATTATTAGTCTAGTGTAGTTTAGTTTGGTAAGTTTATTTTATTTTTATTTCGGTTTATTTCTTTAGTTTACTAATTCATTTTATTAGTTTTAGTTTAGTTTTCGTTTTAGGTTATTTAGTTTAACTTAGTTTAGTTTTATTAGATTTATTAGTTAATTAATTCGTTCAGGTTACAGTGAAAGCCTGTCAAGCGTGAGTAATAGACAATAGCCCTTGGCAGTTAAATAAAAAGTGACGAAATTTTATGGCGTCATTAAATTTTGCAAACATCGGGCCTTTGTCTCGTTCAAATATTCAAGAGCCTTAACTGCATGACAACCGTTCTCTGTGGCACATATAGAATCGCGTCCGCGTCAACAGAAATTACATCACAGAGACCGAAAAGTTGCGTTCCGATTGTCCGTATGGCGCACATTGTTCTCTAGTGGATACCGCCATCAATGACACGCTAGGACTGAGGATGAACCAAAAACAGGAATTTTCCTTTCCTTGCTTTACATGCGGGACAGTGTGGAAGCCGCCAAATGCAAGCTAAGGTCACTTAACGAAGGTCTTGGACACACGTATGGGATTAACATCCGTCGTGTGCTAATGCAGCCCAAGCGTCCACTTCAGTCAGCGGTCACATAAGGAAGTATACGGCACGTGGCCAAATCATCTAACACAAGTGAAGAACGATTAATAACACGTATGCATGTACTGGGTGTGGGGCGATAGGAAGTGTGAACGCATGTGGTCATGCATGACCTCAAGAATAGTCACTGATTCGCTTTAACAGCGCACAGTTACTGAGTGATCCATATACATAATGATGAGATAAATAATTGAAGTCTGACAATGAGATCTGCCATTGATCGATATGCTGTCGTCATTAAAAGCTAGCAGATATCGCTCTGTCACCGAATGATTACCAGTGAAGAACTGGGAAGATTATCTTATCCCGCGTGCCTCGGAAAGCCAACTTAATTGCCATAGTTTTTCACCCTCTTTACATTCGATTGACGTATTCAAACACTGATCGGAACGGCAGGGTAGTAAACTGTTCTTCTCTGAAATCTGCTTGCCTGTTACTTTGGTAGATAAGCTGGTTCCATGACTACTACCATACGAAATATCTGAAGACTATGTTTTGCTGTGTGTGTGTGAGAGAATTTCGGCTCCTTACTTGGTTACCCGGAGTTCTCTGTGTG